CCGTTGCGTCACTGGGATACTCACAGACACGCGGCAGCCCACAGTGACGAAGTTGATGACATGGTCCGCGGTCTTCGCGAATGCCCGGGTCTCCCTCTTGTCCTTGGCCTTCTGCCGTAAGTTGATGCCGCGCTGGACCATGCCGCACTTCCAACACAACAAGGTCTTCGAACGTGCCAAAATCCAGTTGCTGCATTCCGCAAATTGCTTGCACTTCTGCTGCCCAAACCGGTTCCAGCTCGGGTTCGGCGGACATGACAGCGAGGCCTCTACGGACCAGAGGGGGAGCACGAGTCTTACTAGGATCAGTGCTAGAGCCAAATACTTGAGCCAAAATGGCTACTCTCTCTCTCTCTCTCTCTCTCTTCTTCTTCCACACAGTCAACAGAAGGGCACTGCACCCTCCCCCGCGCGCGCACGCGCACTGGTGTCTCTTTTCTTTCTTTCATCAGGGCTAGGGGCAAGGGAGAACGAGCCCTCTCTCTCTCTCTCTCTCTCTCTCTCTCTCTCGCTCTCTCTTAACTGCCTATCTATATACCTACCTATCTACCTATCGATCTATATATCGAACTATTTATCTATGTATAAATCTACGTACGTTTTACTATTCCAACTTATGTCTATACAGACATGCACTACAACACTCGCCGAAGTGGGTGATGCCGAAGGACGCCAACGAACTCGAAGCTGCTGAAAGACAGTCGGCACAAGCTTAATCTGCGGCCGGTGACCTCGGAATCCACATTCGCAGCTGCGGCTGCTGTTGATTAAATGCTACTCTTTTCTCCCCAGCGTGCAGTTGCTGTGTTGCCGCTGGGCGGCTGTAAGGCTTCCCCTTCTTCTTCTGGAGTAGCATTTAGGCCACGTCTCCCGCCTTGCCATATGAGAAAAGCCCCGGCAAGATGTCAATGCCATCAAAGGCTCTTGCAGATACGCTGGGGGGACTTGAGTACTACGCTTTCCGATGTTGACTTCCGCACAAAAAAAACAACCTGCGACAGGTCATGAATGGCCGCGGTCAGAGGCGCTCACAAATGACAACACTTGATGCGAGCGCTGCGTTTTCAGTTCGCGCAGAAAGTTGAGCCGAGGCATGCCAAGACACTTCGCGGTGGTGCAGGGCGCTTCCTTGTAAGCCTCCATCACGCTTGAGCCATTACAGCTGTCAGCTGCTGCAGGGACTGCGCATTGCTGCCAATGCGAAAAGCTATAGACATGACATCACATGTACATCATCCGTCGGAACCGGGGGTATAGCCGAAGCCCATTGACTTGGAACTGAAGACAAGGCCAGGTCAATCGCATTTGTAGGGCTTTGGGCGATCAGCTTGAGGAAGCTCTGGACCTTTCGATTGCTAGTATAATGCTAGTAACTCCCATGAACACGTCCGAGGCACACAAGACGCGTTCTTGCGCAAGGTGTCGGGGGAGCGTAGAGGAACTGGCAGAGCGGCTCTGGAGGGCTTCGCAGATTCGTCCAAGGCTCAAGGAAGCGAAGAGTGTCCGTGTTGTGCAGAAGTTGCACAACTTTTATTGGGATGTATTTCGCCTGTTCGTTCAACATCCGGCCTATGCTTGCATGTTCATCTATGCACGCAGGGACCAAGGTGTTTCAGCAGCGATGGTCTATCGCGATCCCCTCCATTTTGGGAGGTGGTGCACACACTTCAACTCAGGCATCTTCACAGAAGGCGGCCAGCCTAGGCAGAGTGCCATCATCCCGTCATGCCCGCGAGCTTCTGTCCGAAATCCTGGTGACAACGACGGTCGAGCACGGCCGCAGGAAGGATTCGAGGCCTAGTTCACCGAGAGGTAGCTTGTTGAAGTAGCAAGGAGCAGTCGGCTGGACTGCTTATCTCAGCGAAGTAGTACACCAGGCTCCTCGT